ATGGCCAGAATCAGCCAGATCACTGTTGAAAACAGAGGTTTCCAATCTATCATCTGTTGGCCAACTGACAGTTCTAACTCTGTGTGACCTTCAGTCTTGAGCACCACAGGCTTGGAGAGGCAGATGGCTTTGCAAAACGATAAGCTGGAAAAACCAAGCAAGGAGGAAACAGAGGAGAGGCGTGGGTCTGTTGAGTCAGAAGGTAAGATAGAGAAGTTATAGGGTCTCTTGAAACCCACTTCCCTATAAGTCTTTGCTCTGAGCCTAAATGGTACTAGAGAAAAAACACAGTGCCATGCATGCATGGTTCATCAAAGCCATGAAGACGTTGCTGAGCCAATGCTGAACCTTGGTGTTACAAGAGGTTCAAATGTGTTTGCACGTGGTAAAGAGATCCCAAAACTCCCCTTGCTGATCTTCTGTGAAATGTCCCTGCCACTATCATGTCTATTCTGTATAATCATCTTTTGATACCACAAATGTCTAAGGTATTTTAGGCTATAAAATTAGGCACATTCTCTTGGACTTTCACAAGAAAGGAATAAATTCTCATCAAATGATGGCATATAAGGATTGACGTCAAGTCTAGCTCTTGCATTCAGGGGCTGGTGGCCATGGGTTGAGCCTTGTAATTATGTTACACCTGTTTCCACATCTGGCAAAATAGGGTTGGTCACCATCCTTTCTCTCTCTCTCTTTCAGGAAAGATATAAACAAAAACAGGAAACTAGATGAGCAAACACTCTGTGCTCCTTGGAGGAAGAGCACAGTGGAAGCTCTGTGTGCTCAGAGCAGGGCTGGTTCAGAGGAAAATGATGCCCCAGTGCCTCAGTTACTTCATCAATAAAAAGGACCAGTGACATCTGCCCGCCCATGTCTCAGGGCTGTCCTCCAGTACCTGGAAATCCCAAATAACATAGTAGACCAAAATTGACCTGGATTATACCCTGCAAAGTGAACGCCTCCTTTAATCTGGTTTAAGAACTTTCTGATTTTACTCTGAATGCTGTTCATATATTCTTTTGTTTTAAGAAGTTCCCCAAGATAGAATAGACCTACTATCATATCTGAACACATTTTGTAATAAGAAGTTTAAAGCCTTAGAATGTCTATAGCCAGCATATCTGGCTGAGACTCCTCTAGGAATGGAATGATGAACTCTGTGACCTTGGTAAGGAGGGACACTTGCTCACCAAGTCCTGAAGGAAGTCAGCAGCAGGAAGAAGGAAAGACTGCAGGGTCTGAAGTTCCTCACGTATGGTCAACTGACCGCCCCGTCCTTTCTTCCTCTGTCCTGCACTTACCCACTCCTTTGTCCCCTCAGTAGTCTGTGTTCCAAGATAGCTCCTTTCTATTTTCCCTCAGGGCACAGACCAAGGGTACTCTTTTTAGCAGAAATAGTTGTGTGTTTTTTCACTTTTGGAGAGGCCAAAAATTAAGCCTCTAATGTGGAAGCTTGACAAGAGAAGAAAATAATTTAGGGTCTTTTTCTACTGCTACCTACTCAATGTTACCTACTCAAAAGTCCAGCCCTGGAAGGATGCCATTCCACCTCAGGAGGAAATGTGGCTTCTTGCTGGGCTGTTTCCTTCAGCATCTTCAATAAAATGAGTTCTGTGCCAAAGAATTCTGAAAAGCTTGAAGAGAGAGGAGGGTAGATAGAATAGCAAGAGTGAACATAGCCCCTGTGGGAAATGACTCAAAATGACTATAGATTTTGCGACGTTCAGTCCAGGAAGAGATTTTAATTCAATGCACATTTATGAGGTCCCTTTTGTGTATGTGCAGACATTGGTTGCAGTTGCTGGGGAAAGGCACCTGCAGGATGCCTAGGAGGAGACAAAGCAGCTGTTTTCCGATACCAGAAGGACTCGCAAGTAGAATAGGGAAAGGCGCTGAAAGGGGGAAAGAGAACTAGCATTTAACGAGTGTTTCCTTTGTCAGGAACTTCACATGTAATGTGTATTTAATTCTCACAATGATACTATGAAGTGTTATCTCATTGTGAGGAAACTGAGAGCATGGAGGTCAAATGTATTGCCCCGGAGCCTTATAATGTAGTCAAGTAATACAGCAGGAAGCAGGTGGGCCGTGTTAGTTCTCAAGAGGGTCTCTGCTAATGCAGCTTCTGCAATTTAACATCCCTAGACCACGAGCCCAAGTGCAGGGGCTCTACAGATTCCTGTGCTCTGCCTTTACTTCACACCTGTCCACCCGCATGGAACAGTCTTTTTGACTCCAGAGACAGTAAAGACACTGGCTTCAGGGTATAACTAATGGTCTGATCTCATCAGCAAGCCCACCCACTAAACTCGCATGCTCACAGGCAAATAACAGCTAACTCATGGCTCCAATCTATAAAAACGTTGAAGCAGAGGGAGTCTGATTTAATATCTATGAAAGACATTCCCTCAGGGGATTCCAGCAATGGATGGGAAGTGGTATGGAAAGTGTAGACTCTAGAATTAGAAAGAATCTCTCTGAGCCCTCATTTTCTCCAGCTGTTTATGGGTGATAATGAAGACTTCCTAATGTAAAGATTAAGCAAATGTAGCTAAAGAACCTAACATATGCGTACATAATATATGTTCTCTACCCTTGCAGGTCAATGCTTCAAAATCTCTTCTGTGTGATAGGGAAGATGCATTGCAAACTTTTCTCTGACACTAGTAAAGGTGAAAGGCCTACCTATCCCCAAAGGCCAAATTAGAACTAAGTTTCTGGCTTAAGAGTTATTGTCAGTGTTAGCTGTAGTTTATCAATAATTTTTCATGGACTTTCCCTTCCCTTAAAGTAGTCCTTATCAGTCATTTACTTCTTGGTGTGAATGAGTGTAAGATGCTTCCCCTAAGAGCAGTTTTTGAAATGAGAAAAAAAAAAGGTATCAGACTTCCGATCTCACCAGTTTGAATGACTAAGTCCTACAAGTCCTCTGTCATCTTTGTTATGTTCTTTTCCCCATGCCTTGTAAACAGACAAAGCTCTTTACTATAAAAAGCAAGGCAAGATGCACATTTTCTAATAAAGCAGAAACTATTACTTTGGATAACCTTTGAGCAAGCCATATAGATTTATTGGTTAAAAAATATTATGTTTGTGCAGAAACTTCTTGTTTACACATCTCCACAAGCCTCAACAAAATTGAAGATTATAATCACAATAATATATTTCATTAGAGTTCACTTTACAAAAATATGTACAGTGTAAATATAAATTATTCCTTTTAGGAAATGATGGATTTTAACCAGGAGATACAAAGTTTAATCTTTTTAACATACTATATTAAGATATTATTTCTTTAGCTCCACCTTGAATACTGGGTCAGACACACTACTAGTTTTATGAGAAGAACAGTGAATGGCTGAAAGGAACTTCTACCTTCACAACTCAGATAGCATGGGGTTATGAAAGAGGTTCATATTAAGAAATAAAGAGGGTTTTACATTTTTCAGTTCCAGGAAAAGGATGTTTCATTCACTTCCTTCTCTGTTTTCTGCAGAGTGCTAAAAGTTGTAACTACATTTGCTTCATTTTTCTGCACCACATGTCACAGTGGTGCTATGTCAGTCTGTATGGAAAAACTCATGTCAAGAAACATGACACAAGGATTTTGGTATTGCTGAGAAAGATTTTCCAGTAAGCAGTGAATGGCATCAGAAGAATCATGGACTTTTATTTTCTCTCTTTTCCTTCTAACCCTCCCCACCAAATTATGAGAGCAAGTATGGCCAGAGCAGCCAGGGAAGGTGGCGAGGACAAGAAACTGTCCATAACTCCCCCGCCCAAAATTGAGTGAATCGGGTAGGAAGAAATCCTCAGACCAGAAAACTTATGACTCTCTCTTCTTGTTATACTAGTTCAATTTTTCTGCATTTACATTTGTTTTTCATTCTTGGCCTAGCTGATGCATTCTAAACTTATTCTTCTAAATTATTATGTATCTACCCAAAACAAAAAAACCTTTTAAAATGCAAAGTTTATAGATAATTCTCTATAATCTTAAGAAAAATGAAATTATTTACACCTGGAGTAGGAGTAGGAAATCTTTGACAAGATTTAAGAAAAACAGCAACAATAGGTTTAAATCAATAGTTACCAGGTGATAATAAATTACTATTCATTAATGGCCTGGCTTCAGCTAAAATTTCAGGATTTAGAGAATACTATAACATAGAGCAGGATGAAAGCCTAGAGCCCATACCGCTTAAGTAAACTTTCCACTCTCTTGGTAATAGCTGAGGAAATCTCTAGACAAATCCTTGAGAGGCTCTTAGAATTAGTCTTTCATCTATACTTAGAAAGTTACTGCAACTGTCTAATTAAAGACCTTTAGAGAGTACCTGAGTTAAAGAGAGGGGGAAAAATGCAATTTCTAAATTTATTAAACTACCTAATGCAATTTCTAATTTATTAAATATCACATGATCTGACAACACAATATTTGCCAAGCACTTGCTATAATGAGCTGCTTCTTGTCATCCAGTGCTGCCACCCCAGTGCTTGGGAGAAGTAAGCAGAGTACAAATCAACTAACCGATAAAATAAGCTTCCAATGACTAACTTTTAAAGGGGGTACCTGGTCCTAAACCAGGGGAGATGAGGACCAGTAGGAGGCCCAAACTTCACCTGCACATACATTACTTGTATACATAATCCTGACTTGTACCTCACATCTCTATAATAAAATAAGGTAAAAATAATAAATAAATCAATCACAAAGCAATTTTAGAGTCTGATTCAATATCTGAAATAAAGAAAGCACCTCACTTCTTCCCTTCTATCCCCAACAACTTTTGCAGATAAATGCAATGAGTAAATGAAAACCTAGTATTACGGGCTATTAAATAGCCAAACAGCCTCTAGTAAATTGTTGCTTCCTGGAAGAGATAAATCTTATAAGTAACCTAAAGAAAACAAACCAAAACAAAACTCGCCACTACCAGCTTGGCAGCAAAAGAGGCATTATTGGGTCAGAATTTAGGAAATCAGGAAATACTTACGACCATGATGAGCGTGCCCAAGAACTCAGAGAGTGTTTCTTTCACTAAGCTGCTCTTCAGGATCAGTCTCTGCTTGAGGCTTTTCCCCTTCTTTTTCTTCTCAGGTTGCATTTTGGGGGTTCTCTTTGGGCTCTTCTTTCTACTGATACCTGCCTGTTCTGTTCCTCACCTTCACCTGCACACGAAAATGGAAGTTTTGACAACTGCTCACAGATTCCTGGAGATGTCTGGAGAGAATCTCTGACTGTACAAGTGCTGTCCCAATTAGAGACTGTGATTTAATCCTCTTCTGGTGGAACTGCCATTCCCTGTCCACTGTTATTTGTTTGAATTAACGAGTTAGAACCTGAAATCCCCTTTGTGACCCTTCTTGTGCCTGATAGATTAATCATTACCTGTATTCTCAAGGTATTTTTTCCTCTGTTTTTTTTTTTTTTAAGAGATGAGAAAGAGATGTGCTGATCATGTTGCCAAACCACAGCATTGGGCCTTGGTCCAGAAGAGATTTACATATTACACAATTGCAGGCTTCTAATTTTTTTTTCCCTATTCAGAAGTGGGTGGTTGGGTGTAGTTTAGAATTGTCAAATCAGGTATAGATACATCCAGTGTAAACAATTTTCTGAAGAAGGTTTTTATGCAAACTGGAGAATTTGAAGAAAACTTAGATTTATCATCCTACAAGATTAATCACTCTTGTTTTCTTCCGATCTCATTTCAGTCACTTCATGACACCAGTCAGAGGTTGGCAAGAATCACTGTGACCATTTCAGTGATGGAGAAATTAGTGCACACAGAGACCACTGAAAGCTTCACACTGAAAGTCTGTAGGACAGAATGGGGTCACCTCCTCGATTACTGAAATTGAACTTCATCTGCTGAGGATAGTTTGGGATCCAAGAACCAGAAAGATGAAAGTCAACTGCTTGAGTTTCTTCTGAAGAAGAATTCCAGCTTGAAAATCAAGTTATTCTCCTTAATTTGCCATGGAATACTTAGGCAAAATACATGGAAGGTAAACAACAGCAGCATGAAATTCTATCCTGTATAGAGATGACAGAGCCATAAAGAGATCAGTCTGAGTGTCTTCCTAATTAAGCAAGAGGAGTCAATGCACCTAACCAAGACTCCTAGGTTATACCATTTAAATTTGATGAATCAACATCCTTTGAGCCACAAACTGTATTTGGGACCAGCTTCTCATCCGGCCAAATATTAAAGTTTTGTTTTTCAAAACCGGTTTGTCTGAAGAAATAGAATACAGCATTAGTTTCTAAATACCAAGGCGATCCCACAGAATTAGTACCCATGCTGTGTGCTGACTCCCAAACCTCCCGCAGAGAAGCCACCTCTGTGTCAGGCCCTCTCCCTACCTTTGCAGGAGGCCCTCAGTTACTTCCAGCTGGGGAGACAGGCGGGAAGGGAGGAGAGGACGTGGATAAAACAGCTGATGACTGTGCAAGGGCCGAAGAAGGCTCCTGATCTGTAGGTACCATTTAGAATTTAGACCTAAAGAAGTTATGACTTGCTCAAGGCCACCCCATTGCAGAACCAGGACAAAACCTCAGCATTTTAGCTTTAACTCCTGGTTAAGTTATCACGGATACTATCGTCTTGAGTTGCCGATGATTGCACTATTCCCAAGTCCCAGTGGACAGACCAGAGGAACAGGACTTTATTACTGTGACTCCAACTAACAACACACAAGAGTGTTCTCTTGTCTCTTCATTTGCTCATCTGACAACAATTTATTGTATACCCATGGTGTGCCAAGTGCTACACTTAGCAACATCACACATGTTTCTTGCCCTTCATGGAGGCTGAGTCAGGTGAGGGAGCCAGACAAAAGTAAAATAATCTCACATGCACAAATATAAAATCACAACTGAAATGCTCTAAAGATGGGGGCTGAATTTCTATGAGCTAATGTAACAAAGGGATTTTACCTTCTCAGCGAGAACTCTGATGGCTTCTCTAAGAAAATCATGTGTGAGTGAGATCAGAAAGAAGCATAGGGGTTAACTACATGAAGTGAAAAAGGAAGTGTATGTACAAAGGCCTTGGCGGGGGTGGGCATGGGGAGTAGGGCACAGCATGATACCTATCAAAGAATAAGAAAAACCCACTGTGAGTGGCTCCCAGAGAAAGTGAAGGAACACAGCACGAAAAATGAGCCCAGCTAGGCACAGTGACTCACACCTGTAATTCCAGAACTTTGGGAGGCAGAGATGAGAGGACTGCCTGAGTCCAGGGGTTCAAGACTAGCCTGGGCAACTTGGCGAAACCTCGTCTCTACAATAAATCAAAACAACTAGCCTGGTATGGTGGCATGCACCTGTGGCTCCAGCTACTAGGAAGGCTGAGGTGGAAGGATCACCTGAGCCCAGTATGTCAAGGTGGAAGGATCACCTGAGCCCAGCATGCACTCCAACCTGGGCGTCAGTGAGACTATGATTCAAAAAAAGAAAAAGAAAAATGAGCCCAGAGCTGTGGCAGGGGTCAGGCCCTACTGAGCCTTATAAATAGTGTAGAAGAAAGGGCTGAAAACATTGTAAATCATTGAGGTGGTTTAAACAGGAATATGATATCATCAAATATGAGTTTTGAAAATATCATCCTAGCTGCGAGGTGGAGGGGATTGGAGAAGCCGTGGAATGGACAGAGGTAGCTCTGTTTGAGGGTATGGTAGAATTTCAAGACAGGGTGGTAGCTTTGACAATGGAGGCATGGAAAGATTCACAAGTTCTTTATATCTTAAAAGTGGAAAGACTTGGTGGACTAGATGTGAGAGATGAGGAGAAGAGACTCATCAAAGTTGGTTCGTGGGTGACTAGCTTGCTGGGGAAGGCGGTGCTAAGTTCTGGGGAGGACCAGAATTGCAGGGAAGGTCATTAATTCTGCTTGTGCAAAGTTGAACCTCAGAGGCTTTTGAGAGATGTAACAAAGGAAGTGATACTGGTTCAGATATGGAAGGAATGTCTGTGTGCTCATCAAGGTGATGACTGAAGCCAGGAAAAAAGAGGAGGCTCCCTAGGGAGAGGGTTTGAAGAGACAAGAGGTTGAGCTTGAGATACTGAACATTTCATGCTTAGGTGAGGGAGGGCGATATCTTCATTATTTCTTTATTCTACCTTCAGGTGACAGTCACACTTCTTACCTCCATCACCACAAACAGCCCATCATCAAACATAGCTCACTCATACTCCCCAGCCAGCTATCAAACAAAATGGCCAAGCACATCTGAAGAAGGTAAGCAGTGAATAGCATCTTTCCCTTCTTCCATCTGAAAGTGGCTTTTGTGAATATACCTTGCCTCCAAAATTGTAATCAGAAGCATGGGGCTGCTTAATTTCTTTTGTTCATTCATTCAGAAAAATATTTAATTGAGTATTTACCATGTGTTAGGCACAGCATTAAAAAGTAGGGATCTGAAAATAAGGACAACAGGTCTCCACTATTAAGGAATTCATAGTCTAAGTGACAAAGACCTCGAATGAATACACCATATAGTAGAATAGAACTAATAGAACCAAAATTCCAGATATCACCACAAGGATATCCGAGAGGTCACTCTGGACTTGCCAGTAAATTGACTCATTCTGCTATCAACAGTTCTAAGGCACCATCCTAGGCAACATAGGGAGAACTTTCTCTGTAAAAAAAAAAAAAAGCTGAACATGGTAGCACACACCTATAGTCGAAGCTACTGGGAAGGCTGAGGCAGAAGGATTGCTTGAACCTAAAAAGGTCAAGGCTCTGATGAGCTGTGATCATGCCACTGCTCTCCAGCCTGGGTGACAAAGTAAGACCCCGACTCAAAATACACACACACACACACACACACACACACACACACACACACATTGTTTTTGCCATTGGGTCTTGCAAATTCAAGTTAAGTTAATTTCTAGGTATTTGATATTTATTTGTATTTATTTTGGGAGTTAGAATGAGATCTCCTCTTTTATTCTATTTGTTAACTAATTATGACAAGCAATATAAAACGATTTCTGTGTATATAACTGCAAACCCTAGTGAACTCTCTTATAGTTTGAAATAGGTTTCTAATTGATATTGTAGTGAACAGTGTTAGTTGCCTACT